AAACAACCAATTTTCATTTTTGGGTGAACTATCCCTTTAACAGCAATTATTATATGATGCAATGAAACTTATAGCAAAATGTGGTAGTTCTGTATGTTGTTTCAGGGTTGGCATCATTTGAGGTCCTCTGAGGGGTTAGCATCATCTCTTCTCAGGTGTTCTGGATCCAGACTGAAGCTTGTGTAAATCCTAGTTACATCCCGTGGCAAAAACAGAGAAACAAATAGAGACATAATTAGCATAGCTGCTGTTCCAACCAAGCAAAATTGATTTGTTTAACCCTCATGTGGTGTTCGGGTCCTTTTTGCCCGGTGAAGATTTTCTTTTTCCCGAAAATACTAGTTAATGTTATCGCATTGGACTGAAATTTAGTGACTTTGTCCACAAAGGGTATAAATACTTCTAAAAAATTTGTTGATAATTTTCATACTTTTTTGAATGACCCGGCTTCAAAAAAATGCCCATAAATCACTCATTACGCCACACTATCACCAAATATTGGACTCAATGTCTCCGTCAAATTCCCTTCTCTCATTTAGGACCGGTCCTGCACCCACATTTGCCTCCAATCAATCGCAGGCCCCATCCATCCGAGAGTAGGCACCCCACCCTTTGAGCGAAAAAAGCACCACCCATGAACAATTTTCACAATATTAAATAAAAATGATGAAAATCTACACTGTCCATCACACCAGTGTACTTCAATGCCCAACCAGGGAGCCTGCCTCTAAATGCTTCCATTTTGTACAAAATGGCACAAAGTCACACCCGCGGTGCTCCCAGGCAAACACGACCCGGCCTCAAAAAACTGCCCACAAATCACTCACCATGCTACACCATCACCAAACATTGGATTCAATGTCTCTGTCAAACTCTTTTCCTCCATTCAGGACTAGCTCTGCACTCATACTTGCCTCCAATCAATCGCAGGCCCCATCCATCCGAGAGTAGGCACCTCACCCTCCGAGCGAAAAAAGCACTACCCATGAACAATTTTCACAATATCAAACAAAATCTGATGAAAACCTACACTGTTTATCACAGTAGTGCACTCCAATGTCCAACCAGGGAGCCTGCCCCTAAATGCTTCCATTTTGTACAAAATGGCACAAAGTCACACCCGTGGTGCTCCCGGTCAAAAATGTCCAGCCACTCAAAGTGAATGAGAAAGAATGAAAGTAATAGAAACTATTAGTGTTCAGGAGCATGTTGATCTTGTGTTGAGAAAATGAATCCCTGCAAAACAAATGTTAGTATTTTTAACGGGTCACAGACACTTATCCTTTCTAATTTAATTCAATTCTAATTTAAAGGGGTCATATGATGCGATTTCAATTTTTCCTTTCTCTTTGGAGTGTTACAAGCTCTTGGTGCATAAAGAAGATCTGTAAAGTTGCAAAGACTAAAGTCTCAAATCCAAAGAGATATTCTTTATAAAAGTTAAGAGTCAGCCACACCCCCCTAAAACGGCTCGTTCTAACACGCCCCCACATACCTACGTCACGATGTGGGAAGATTTGCATAACACCGCCCAAATGTTCACGCAAAGAAAGAAAGCGTAACTTTTATTCTCGCTGTAGTATTGTTGACACTGCAGCCATGTCGTGAAGACGCTGTGTGCTTCGTTGTGAAAGCGAAACTACATCAACTTTCACCATGGACAAAGCGGAGTCCAGCCCGCTTGTTACACCTTTACTTAGTGATTATTTTGCCTTATGTCTGTTCTAGAGACATGTTACAGCTTTTTGATAAAGGTTTAATTGGTTTTCTTTTGGAAATATGTTTCAAATTCACTCTGAATGCATTAATGACTGTAAAGCATGTCTGTGTGTGTCAAAATTGTGATTAAAATCGAAATCGCAATATCGATCAAAGAAATCGCGATAGTTTTTTTTTGTCCATATCGCACAGCCCTACGAGTGACCTCTGGTGGCGATCGGTCGGAAGTCCATGGACAGGATTCGTAACATATGTAACAGTCTGTGTAGTGATTGAGTCAATATGATGGACGAGTGACCTCTGGTGGCGATCGGACGGAAGTCCATGGACAGGATTCGTAACACTACCTCAGATAGAGAGATACTCTGTTTGATTTTTATTATCATGTCTATTGTGCTGAAATCATGCGTTTTAAAATATATTAGTTTAAACTTCGGATAGACGGTTTTCTGAGCGCACACATCCGAAGCACGCGCACAGAAAGCATCTGTCACATGGCATGTGAGTACTAAACTAAGTTCTCTTTCATGTCTTATTGCGCTTAAACTGTAACTGTCAAGTTACAAAAACAGTGAGTTTCTGCTTCCACTCAAATTAGGCATTTTCAAAATGGCATAATAAACGATTTTGTTGGATTTTTTTTGTTTGGAATTTTAGCTGTTTTAGCTCATTTTAAAATCGTTTTTTGGCATTTTTCAGCATTGGGAGTGTTATGAGGCCCCCTAGTGGGTCCCGGCCCACTGGTTAAGAACCACTGGTCTATGAGATGTTATTACAAATGTATCTTCTAAACTGTGTGCGTGTTTGTGTGTGTGCTCAGGGGAACAGATGAAGTGTTCCAGGCTCTGGAGGATAACCAGGTTACACTCTCTGTAATGAAAGCATCTCGTTTCGTCAAAGCATTTGAAAAGGAAGTTGATCACTGGGAACGTAGTCTGTCTCTGGTGCTGGAAGTCATCGAAATGATCCTCACTGTACAAAGACAGTGGATGTATCTAGAGGTACGCACACAGCAATTCCTACAGTTTTATACAGCACATTACTCAACCATATGCTTCTCTTATGCTTTAAAAGTCTGTGGTTACATTATCCAGGCATATGCTGTACACAACACACTCCTGACCTTCCTCACACCCTGCTCGTTCTTAATAAACACCAGTCACAATCCACTGTGCTAGATCACAGTGGAGTCCGCTCTCTACATGTGATGCACAAACTCACTGTAAAAGATTAGAGTCTCACAGACACACACATAGCGGAGTTCAGAGTCACACATCTGTTCTCTCGTAGCTGATGAGGAGAGTAAACAGTGGCTGTCAGCCTGGATTTCCTGTGCGTATGAGTGTTTGTAAACGCACCTGTGATGGCTCCAACCAAGCACCAAACAGTTTTATCTTCCCTTCTGTGCGATTCTTCATTTTGGTCGTCCACTACCACATCCTTTGATTTTTTTCTTTGTTTAGAATATCTTTCTGGCAGATGACATACGTAAGCAGTTGGTTCGTGAGACAGCTGAATTTGATGACGTCAACTCCAGTTGGAAGATCATCATGGACCGACTCAACAAGGACAAAAATGCTCTCAGAGGAACACACCATCCAGGTAATGAAAGGTGGTTCTGGAATTCACCACCCTCAGCGACTGTAAAAAGCGTTTACTGGAGCAGGTCAGTTCACTTGGCAGAAATCTTGGCAACACCCTGGACAGATGGATGAAACGTGTCCAGGTTACATTTCACCTGAAAAAAAAAATCTATTTTGCATTAAAAACTGAGGTCTGTTAACTATTACGATTTTTTTGCATTGCAGAATTATTTTAATGACAATTAAGCACAAACATAATTCATTCAGTAATTTCCCTTTTTTTTTTTTTTTGCAACTTTTATCATTCTCAGTGGTGATTCTCATTACTGGACTGCAGGGACTTTTTTGTACTTGAAGTACCCTCTGAGATTGAGATGATATATAACCAGTTCTACTGTAAAAAAAAAAAAAAAGTATTACACTTTTGAATAGGAAGACAGAAAAATGTCAATAAAAGACATATCCTTTTTTTCTGTTGTTTCAGGTCTTCTAGAGAAGCTCTCAGAAATGAACACTAAGTTAGAGGTGATTCAGAAGTCTCTGGACATGTACCTGGAGACCAAACGGCAAATCTTTCCTCGGTTTTACTTTCTGTCTAACGATGACCTTCTGGAGATCCTGGGCCAGTCACGCAACCCTGAAGCTGTGCAGCCACACCTCAAGAAGTGCTTTGACAACATCAAAAGTCTCCGCATCAACAAAGTACATATGCACCAAAATCTTATACTTCATGTCATGTTATTTACATATATATATATATATATATATATATATATATATATGTGTGTTTTTTTTGGAAATGTATAGGGTTAAGCTTGCGCATTAGTTTAAATGTTCTGCTTGTGTATATGTAGGTTGGGATCAATAACAACAAGTCGGAGGCAAGTGGGATGTTCTCAGCTGATGGGGAGTTTGTTGACTTCACTCATCCTGTCCTTCTGGAGGGGCCAGTGGAGGTGTGTTTCCAACATAAAGTCCAACACAGTCTTTGTTGACAAATGCACTATCCATTGAGCTTTTCATCTTGTATGTGTAGGCATGGTTGTGTGATGTCGAGCGAACCATGCGTTGGACTCTAAAGGACTGTCTGAAGAACTGCTCGATGGCTCTCAAAAAGATGCCAGGGAAGAGGGGCAAATGGGTACGAGACTGGCCTGGACAGGTGAGTGTGTGTATGTCTGTGTGCCTTTCTGTATCTGTGTGAATGCAGTAATTCCACTTCAAAGTTCTTCGCTTGTCTTAACAGATGTTGATCACAGCCAGTCAAATCCAGTGGACCACAGACGTCACCAGAGCACTCATGACCAGCAAAGAGAGAGCAGATAAGGCTGCTCTTAAATCACTAAAAAAGAAACAGGTGAGAGGAACTTGGCAGTTACAGATTTGGGACAGTGATCTAAAGGTCACCAGTTTAAACACCAAAAAGGGCAATTTATGAATTATGTTGAATTGTGCTTCCGTTGTCCTCCTGGGAAAAATAGTTAGGCACAGTAAAGGTTTGTTGAGTCCAACAATTACCTTTTTGTCCCACCAGTGACGGATGGAAAAGTGTTAGAAAATTATATTTCTTTTTATTTTCATTTAAATTTTTTTTTACATTGGATGTGGTGTGAACAGTCTTTATTTTTGCTAATAACTGCATCTAGACAGAATCTGCAGATTTTCCCCCATTTTCTGTGTCGATCTAGGTAGAAATAGGTGGGATTCTGTGGAATGGATTACAACATGGCGTTAAATTAAGCTGAGAGTACTACACTCTTGTTAGTAGCTGAAAGCAAAATAAAATTAGCCCAAATATTTAATTAACAACCATGTTAGCAGTGGGGGATTTGTAGAATTTTAGGAATGACAGGTGTTCTGATTCTGCAGAAATCTGCAGAGCTCTCTGTGGAGTTCTGCGGGCACTGATTCAATGCGATTCTGTTAATAACTAGTGGATGAACTCCACATACACTGCTGACTTCACTCAAACCCTTTATTGAAAATGAGTTATTCATTTCATGTGCATTTGTACTTGGAGCACAGGATGCACTAGATACACAAGTTAATTAAGGACGGCAGCTCAAATGAATTTAATCCAATCACATCTTATAAGCCAAAGCCAGTGAGACACTGAGAATGGCTCAGGCCTGTCTCTGTGCCTTTGAGAGTTGAGATTTAGTCTCAGAGCATGGCTTCTAGGGCTTTAGGAAGGTGGGGATTTTTTTGTTGTTAATTTACATTTACATTACACGTCTCAGCTGATGTTTACTGACTATGTTTGGAGTAACTATGGTTAGGTTTGACCTGGAACCCCTGATCCATAAAATTAGTTTGCGTTGTGTCTGAGTGTGTCTGTCTTCTAATAATCAGTGTTTGCATTGTGTTACCCAGGTGTCCATGCTAAGTCAGTACTCTGAAGCCATACGAGGGAACTTATCAAAGATTCTACGCTTGAAGATCGTCGCCCTGGTCACCGTTGAGGTCCATGCCCGTGATGTCATCAGCAAACTGGCCAAAGCAGGCTGTTGTGATGTCAGTGCCTTTGACTGGCTGTGCCAACTCCGCCTGTACTGGGACAAGGTTAGGGGGGAGATAAGATAGTGGGATGGAGAAAACATATAGAATAGGGAGAAGGTGATCGCCAAAAGCCTCTAAATGTCTCTGTCTGTGTGTGTAGGATGTGGACGACTGCATCATCAAACAGACTAATACCCACTTCCGCTATGGCTACGAGTACCTAGGCAACTCTGGTCGTCTGGTCATCACCCCCCTCACAGACAGGTAACACTTCAATCAATGACCAATGTATTTGAAGGGGGTTTAAATGTGTAGATCCTAAAACAAAGAGGTTTTTTTGGTCATATAAAAAACCTTTAGATGCAGGAATTATTACTTAAATAACAAACACAACAAATACTGTTTTGTATTACTTCATAAAAAATGCTATCTTTTTTCTGCCCAGAATGCTGTATTATATAGTAGTAGATATTCCAGAGGTGCATG